GGAGTACAGTGAGTTAACGGAGATGGCAAAAGCAGAAGTCCCTTCATAGGCACAGTTTAATGAAGTGTAATGTCCTTCTCCTTCTCTCAGGTCCTTTCAGGTTCTGGGAGCTATCTAAATGTAAAGATCTCACTTGAAACAACAGTTTTGTTTGTCAGCAAAACTGCTTATGGTTTACTCTGAGTGTTAACATTGTTACCTGACCAGAGTAGATGCAAACCACTCAGGACACTGTGACTAAACTATTTCTTTTCTCATGGATTTTCTTAGCCCGGGTTCTCCTGTTTATGCTGACTATGTTCACGTCCCACTGGAGAGATGTCATGTTTAAATTAACTTGTGATTGACCTTACTCCAAGATCGCTATAGAAAAGGGCCAAGAATTTTTTTTATCCTTTTTATAACTCCTGGCTCCCTTTCTGTACTGAAGCAATTAGCCTGACCTGACCTCTAGCCAAATGTTCCTGTGGTCAAGTTTCAGCTGGCTTGAGGACAGTCAGCTGCTGTAATTTTTTTTTCTGGTTTTAGCTGTGTTCATTCTTATAAACTGCTGGAGTTGGGTAAGATATAGACTATTATTCCTTAGAATAGTGTATATTACAGACACTGAAATTCATTTTGTGTTAAATACCAGGGACTTTATTAGTGGCATGGCATCTGCCTCTCATATGTATACAGGGGTAGGTGTTGGGAGGTAGATATTGCCAGATTGTAAAAGTCCAGTTTTGTCCTAAAGCTGACACAGAAGCTGTCTCTTGCTAGGTTAACACTGCAGCCTCTGAACAATACTGTTCTTGTTGTCAGTGAGCTTGCAAGAGTGTTTTAGAGGAACAGCAGCAGGCAGTTACCAGACAGATTTGTGAGAACTTTCTGCAAGGCAGTAGTTGTCTGATGGTGGGGCAGATGGCACTTCAGAGGACTCTTCTCTCAGAAATTTTATTCTTTACCACCAAAAGCATTGTAATGATGGCGCAGCTCCTGCTTTGCACCAGATTGTCTCCCATGAGACCTGACCCGCGGCGGTGTAGCTCTCCCTTGGCCTCCGATACCTCTAGAAGTGGTAGTCGTACCCGCAGCTCAGCAGAGCTTTTGGTGTATGTGCTGGATGCAGAGAGGTCACGTAGTCCCTGGTGCTTCACACCCTTTGCAGAGCTCCTTTTGCCTGGCAGAGACCTCATGTGTGAGTGCTGCCCCAAGGGCTCAGGGTTTGAGCTCCAGAGAGGCCAGCACAATGTGTGCCCTTTCCCTGAGGCAGTTGTACAAAGGGTGGAGCATGGCCCATCCATATTTTCAGATGAGAGCAGTTACCCGTTTGGAGCTCAGTCCTGTCCATACTGGGCATGTTCAGGGTACACCGGTTGGATTTTTCTCCCACATGCAACTTGTCTGCACAGATAACTCGGTGGAGGACGCTATGTGGATTTAGGCAGAGCAGACACTATTGCTGTGCCTTGCTAAGGTAGCGGCATTTGTGAGCATCCACAGAAGAAGCATTATTTGCTTCTATACCACATTTTACTAGCGAAAAGCCAAGGGATTAAGCAGCAATTCTGATCACCTTTGAGGTTTAGGAACACAAATTAATCCTGTGCCCCGTTTCAGAGAGCTCAGTATTTTAGGCAGGGTCTGTGGCTCAGCTGGGACTTTCACAATAATTATAGAATTGCTCTTAAACAAGTAGCAGCTGCTGCTGGAGGGGGGGTTGTGTCCTCCCTTCCACCCTGGCTGCTCACTGCCATGCCTGTGCTGCCCTGGCTCTGCTCCTGGGATGTGTCTTTGTGGAGTCCTGATAGACCCCGTCAGCAAACAGATTTGTTACAATAAACGTTTATGGATTAATTTTAACTGGAACAATTTCCTGATGGAGTTCACTGCGTGTGGGTATATAAACAAGCCTGACAGCACAAGAGGAAGAGCAGTACTGGAATGGGATTGTTTTTCCCTGCACCAGCAAGACCTTACTGAAATTCAGCGTGATTGTTCACCTTCTGGGATGTATTTCCAGGCTCCTGGGTTTGTGCTTCACCTGTCAAACCACACGTCCTTGGAGGAAGCTGAGATGGCTGTGGTCACAGCGCAGGGGTTGATGGGATAGCCGTGCTGTGATGGATGGGATAGCCGTGCTGTGATGGCTGCACGCGGGGGCTGATCCTGGTCCCACCAGAGAGTTGCTTCACCAGAGAGTTTCAATGCTTCGTATGGAAAACGAAACAGTGTTCACAGATGTGCTCTGAATGACGGACTCTGTTGATGACATTTGATCACACAGGAGAACTCTTGTCAGGGTTTTGGGCTTTTCTCGTGGCTGTTGTTAGGCAGGAAGAAGTGGGAAAGCTTGGAGAAGAGTGGTAGGAAGATCAGCAGAGGCTGGTGGACACGGGAGAACAGGGAAGTGTGAATACGGAGGCCGCGTGGGATGCCTGGGTATTGCGACAGTGATAGAGCAGGAGGGTTGTAAAGTGACATTGTGCTCAGGCCCATGAAAGGGAAAACAAAACTTTAGGGAGAAACTGGATGGGCTGAAGGGAAGGAGGGGCTGTTCAACGAGGTAGAAATCATGTAAAAGGAGAAGAATTGGCAAATAGAGAAGTATTTCTGTAGAAGATTAACTAATGAGACAATAAGAATCCTTTAAACAGGAGTACAGATGGAGCAGGGGAACAGTTGAGCTAGCTGAAAATGTAGCTGATCTCGGATGAACCTCGTGCTGTGCCAGCATAGCTCTTCTCCGAGAGCAGGAGGATTGTTGGCCTGTGATTTGCTTTATGAACTTTTTCCCAGCCCTGTGCACTCCAGCAGCTGCAGCCTTCACTGTTCCTGGTCCCACTCCCCAGGCTGCCTCCCTCCCACACCACCCCAAATCCTCACTAACACACCTCCAGCCCCTGCCTACCCTTCCCTCCTCCCTGGCCACGTGAGAACAGAGAAGTCACCTTTGGAGAAACCCGTGTCTGTTTGGCCAGGAGAAAGCCCTGCCTGGTGTGGGCCAGGTCCCAGAGCTCCCCCAGTGCTTCTCTCTGTGCGGCTGCCCCGTGTCCACTCAGACTGGCCGCAGGGTGCCCGGGTGGTACAGCTGGGCATCCCTGCCGTGATGTGGGTGCCATGGGGAGCATCTCTCCTGGCTTGTCTTTGCAGGTCTGGGTTAGACTCTGCCAGCCTAGAGCGGTTGGAATAAATGCCTCCTGTGCCGACCCTGAAACTTGAGAATTATTGAGCACTTGTGTCAATGAGGGTGTGAGAAATACCTTCTGATTTTCAAGTTTTGTACTAAAGAGCATGAATGAGAAATCTGGAGTTGGTAGTAGTTGGTTTTGTTGGTTTTTTTTCTGTGGTGTGATTCAGTCTGTTCTCTTGGGGTAAGAAAATTGAAGGAATTATCTTTTGTTACCATAGTTTTACATACTCAGCATGCTTGTGTTTTACGGTTTCTAACTAAATTCAAACCTTGCTAACTCTACTAGGAGACTGACTAGTTTTTGATACCCAGTTTTGACAGCATCAGTTGGTAGTCAGTAACACCCACTTAAAGATTTTTACTCATTAGTGGCTTTGGTTGTTTGGACACTTGTGATTTAATCTCCTGTTAGATGAAGAAAGAAAATGTCTAATTGAAAACACTCCAGTGTAGAATCAAGGTTTGTCATGCCAATTTACGGTCAACTGTGAAAGTGGAGCTATTAGCGTCTCTTTCGCTACGCTGCCTCACTGAGCTGGGGTGTCAGTATATCTTGGCAGTTCTGTGCCACAGAACAAGAAACTGCTGCCTGACTGTTGTTTCAGCATTTGTGTTAATTTTGATGTTGTACCTTTGGTTTTGAAGGCCTCCAGTAATCTCTGTGCTCCACTGGTGCGGTTGTAAATAGTCAGGTAGTAATCCATGGTATGTATGTTTTCCCCCTACTACATATGGAGAACTCACGAGCTTTTGGGGGCATGGTACAAGTTTGTGCAGAAGGCTGCACTGCCCACAAGTCCAATGTATCCCAGCTTCTGCCCTTCCACGTTGTTATCAGACGCTGGTGATAACGGCAGGAGCAGAGTAATGTCCCTCAAACAGGATTGTGTGATGGGGTTGTAGGCTACGTGTGTGTGGCACAGGTGAATTCAGGAGAAGGAGGAGTGTGCTTGTGTAAAGGCTTGTTGGGTTATGCTTGGGTTGTAAAGGTTTGTGTGCGTGGAGGTTGTGAAGGTTTGTGTGGGTGGGCTTGGGTCCATCGGAAGGTGCCTTCTCAGCAATGACGCAAGGTCCATGGCAGCCCCTGAAGAGCAGCGCGGCAGAGCCGGGGCACTGCGGCAGGTGCTCAGGGTTGTGCAGGGTGCCGGGAGGGAACGCACCAGAGAATTATGCTGAGTTACTCTCATTCTTGCAGCTCCACAGCTACTGCTGTCCTCCCTGCTCCTGGCGTGCTGCCTGCTGCATAGGTACTAAGCCGGTGTTTCTCTGCTAACAGCCATTTGGGTTTCTGGTGTGGGAACTGGCTTATTAAACTGCATCACGCCTCTCAGCTTTACTGCACGTAGTCCTAGACCCAGGAAGGGTTATACATGGCATGCAAAGATGAATGCAGCTTCAGAGGAGTATGAACTGGAAAAGGTGTCATCGCATCTTTGTTCCCTGAAAGAGATACCATTCTTTTCCTCCTTTCACTTTTAACCTGGGCGAGTGATTGGGACCCATCCCCAAAAGGCTGCTGCAGGGCGAGTGTGGCTGCTCCCTGGAAGCAGGCTAGAAATTAACGATGCCTGGTATTTTCTCTCTCTGTATTAAATGAACTAGAAACCCATAAGCTAGTTCTCCTGTAAAAATAGTATTTACTCTCTGTCCCAGACTGCAAGATGATGTATGACTTTATGAGGCAATAAACCGTGAACTAAATACACTTCTGGTTTAAATCCAATCAGGAATTCAATAAAACTAGATGATAGTTTAAATGTCACGTCATATTAGGTAGTAATATTACTTTATAAAGAAACTCTCTTATTGTCTTTTGTTATTACAGAATTGGAGGTATGGATCTTCGGCATCTGCTGTTTACTTTGGCACTGATCTGTGCAAATGACTCACTTTCTGCAAGTGATGGTAAGTTTTACGACATGTTTCTGTGCCTTTGTGTGTTTACATATATATATAGCTTTATATAAAGAGTGTTTTTGTATTATATGTCAGGACTATGCAAGTTCCTTGATTGCAGTAACCCAGGTACATAACTTGAAATGTGAAAAATACATCAGTTAATCTTGTTGTAAAGGTAGTGGATGAGAATGAAGGTGAATTTCATGGACAGTGTTCCATGTGTGATGTGTAAACAAGCTGGATCAATGTTGGTGTTAGACATCTGGATTTTCTTTGCTGAAGTACTGAAGTTATGAAACAATTGTATGAGGTTAATTTTTTTATAGAAACTGGTGAACAAGTCTTTTAGTATATTCATATGTTAAGTATAGAACTATTTGGAAGTACAGAGGAAGCATTTTAAGACTGTACACTTTGGGTCTGAGGCCAATATGAAGAAGTTTCATAAGAAATACACTTAGACATACTTGAGTAGAGCTTATAAAAGGGATTTGAAAAGAACACGTACCCTCAACCAGCCAGCTGGCTGTGGGTAACCAGCAGAAGCATTTTTAGCAAGGAGAAGCTCTGAATGCACATCCTGTAGTGCTCATGATTCAACAGATGTGCCCAGGGTTCACATCCACTGGATGTACCTCTGGCTTTCCACAGTTCCTCTCCTTCCCATCCTTATTCAGCTCAGTTCTTCCATCTTCTGAATTAAATGCCAAGCTGGAAAGTACTTGGTCCAGCTGAGCTTTCTCTGATGCTTTTTGTTGTTGCAGCCACCAATGATTTATAACCATTTCTCTATCACCCGGAGGCCTGTTCTGACTCTGGTGGATCCTCTGGGGCTGGTCTTTTACTCATTTAGAACAAAAAATTCGCATTAACTCCAGTAGAAGTTTTACATTGTGTCAGACTGCTGTGCTTACTCTGGTTGTGATCTGCTCCTGTAAACGAAAGCAGCTTAACCTGGTCTGCACTGTCTTGCTCTGGCCTTTGGAGAGAGCAGTAACAGTTTTCCATAATTACTAATTTTATGCAAACATGTCGCTGCTTCTCCCAGTGCTATGGAGCAGCTACAGAAGGGTGGTTCCTTAAGCAGGTGCCCCTCGTGACGTCCTAGCCAAAATCAGTGTTAGCAGAGAAAGTCAGAAAGGGCAATTTGACACATAATTTGGAAAAAGTGAGGTGGAAACAGCTTCCACAACAAACTGTAAATAAACTGATAAAATTTTCAATGAAAATTTCTGACATCTCTCAATTTCTTTTTTTTTTTTCTTTAGCTCCATACTTAGGTGTTACTGAATGCAAATTAAATACCTATAGAGTTGCAAGGCATGTTTCATTGGCCTTTCTAGTGTTAGTTTTAGAACCAAACCAAAGGGCTAGGGCATAATTGCCTGTAGTCATAACTCCTTCACCCTGATACATTTCTGTATTTTCTTGGAGTTGCATACCAAATTTCTAGATATTCATATCTGCAGAAGTGCTGGAAAGATGAGGTGTATTACGTTGTTGTTAATGAAGACATTAAGCTGAAATAAGAAATAACTAGAAGTCAAATGATCAGTTTTCAGAGAATTCTTCCATAATGTTCATTTTGCTTAATAAAAAAGGGGGTTGGTTTGGCAAAACACAAGTTTCTGTTTATTTACATCTATATGTCTGGCTCAGACACTCATCCTCTATTATCAGAAAGAGAATCTGTAAGATCCTCCTCTCCCTTGCTAGTTAAGTCTTTTCCTTTAACATTTACCAAATTTGATTTGAGTTCCTAGTGTACCTGACCATTGAAGGCAATGAATGAATCATGTTTTCACTTTTGTTCCCTACTTTCATTTCCTACTTGCAGCAATACTTTCATTCTGCTACCTACATGTCCCACGGGAAATGAGTGTGCCTGTTTAAGAACTGTGTAAGGAAGTGTGGGGCAGTGAAGTGGTTATTTTCATACTAGAATTGGGCTGAAACAATGTAGGGCCTTTAATGTGATTTGAATCATTCTCTGTCTTCTGATTTAGTTAAAAGAAGAGGAATTTTCTGACATAAATTTGCAGAATAAAGCTATATACTCATTTTCCCCTCTTTGTGTATCAGCCTCTTTAGTTAGACCTAAGAACTGAAAGAAAATTTGCAAATTCCTCTTTGGTTCTGCTGAAATGTGGCAAGTCAGTATTTCACAGTGAAATATGATACGTGTACCAGCTCCTATTCATTGCCTCGTACAGAATGGTCAGTGGAACAAAAATGGATGTGTCCTGACTTGATCCTTCCCCCACAGTGTCTGCATTTTACAGTACATTCATTCAATAGACAAATATAATCCCTGCCCAGATGCAGTCTACTGAACCAATTGATTTCTCTCTCAGGGTGTAAGAGCACATGAGGATTTTTTGATCCTTGACAGATGAGGTGTGTTCCAGATGTCCCAAGTTCAGTAAAAATCTGCATTATAAATAAAATTTAACCACAACATCACCTTTATATGACTTCTTCTATACTGATGAAATATTAACTTTCATGAGCTTACCTTCAGAATCAAAAAATGAAGAACATCTTAGTTGTGTTCCTGTGCTGAAATCCAAGGCACAGTACTAAACATATATGACCTGATTTGCTGCACTGTTAAAGAATTGTGTGTGTGAAGGGAACAGAGCTTTATTGTCCCAAGAATAAATTTCTAACCCCTAAACTGCTTCTAATGCTGTAACACGTTTATTCTGAGTAAGGGAAATGCTCAGCTGAGAAAGTCACACAAGAAAGTATAAGTCAAACAGGAATATTTGAGGTAACAACATGAGAGAATATCCATTTGCCATTCTTGCATGATTTAGCACAGGGTATTAGACAAGGTCTGTTTATTAGCTGTTTTGTTCTTTTTTTTTTTCCCCCACATGTGAATGTGCATGTACCTGCAAAAGCTCTCGTGAGCATCCAGCCCCACTCAGGTAACGAATCCTGGTGACTTTACAGAGCTCTGCCCAGCATAGTCTTGCTGAGGCCTTTCTGTAAACTTAATTAGATGTGCTCCGTGCCTGTACCATATCTGCTACATTGCCCAAGGGACAGGATTTACAGTGGCATGGTTCCCTAAAAAGTCCACTTCGGTAATTGTATTTCTTCTGGCAGCACATTAGAAAGTTACACATACTTGCTAATCTTGCACCAAAGCATGTTACTGAGCCAGTGTAATAATGACTTATGCATGGAAGGCTTTTATGTCTTGAAAGTAAGTAAAGCTTACGTTCAGCCTTAGAAGAGCCTATGCTTCGAGCTCTTTGTGCCATGGGGCCAGGTCCGCTCCTGGCAGACATCCTTCCTCCTGGAGAGAGAGAGAGGGTGTGAGGCCAGCAGTTGGCCAGGCAACTGCACAGTGTTTGAGACCAGATATTGGACATTTAGTCACCTATTTGCTGTCTCCAGGCTGGTGCCAAGTTCTTCTGGAGGCAGATTTAGCTTGTTTTCATGCTGTCCTATTGCAAAGAGTTTGGCTTGCTCGTTCCTTAAACTGAGGCTAGCGCGAAGTGACGGGGGCACCCACCGTCTCTGGGATGGCGATGCTAAATGTGACCAAGCATGTGTACTGCACTCGGCCTTCGGCTCTAATTCAGAACTGAGCAGGTCTGGGACTTGCAGCCTTTTACCAGGGGACACTGACCCACATGCTGCCCACGTCCTTGCGGTGCCTGTCATACGATGGTAAGGGCAGAACAGGGGCAGTGGTAGAAAGAAAGTGTAAGGGCCACAATAACAGGAAGGTCGTTTCTAACAGATGTGTAATTACCATAGGTAAATGATTTTTGTGCCCTAGGGATTGGAAAACCTAAGGCCCATTTTCACAGCTAATGAAGACATTTTTCTTAAGTCTACAGAACTTACACTTCTAAGAGTTTAGGTTGCTTTGAAGATGGGGAATTGTGTGATTTTGAAAGTTTAGTTTAATTTAGTTAATTTGGTACAGGAACGAGAAAGAGTACTGCTTCGTGAGTAGATCATCTACATCTGTGCAATATTAACTCTCATTCAAGAAAAAAATAAGGGCTTATATTCATGTACACGTACACAATTTGTGTTTGAGATATTTAGATTAATGTTACTGTGGTGTTTCACATACATATCCAGCATAGACTAAGGTATGTTGGTTTACTGTACCTGCTGACATCAGAAGTGGTTGAGGGGAATTGCTCCAGACACAGATTGCAAAATATTTAGGAAGCAAAATAAATTCTGTCTGCTTGTTCCTTCCCTACAGCTGATGAGTGTAGGTCATATAAGGACATAGAGGAATAAACTGGGAATTAGTCCCAGTTAATAAAACAATACATAAGCTCAAGCAGTTCCAAAACTAATTTCTTCCCAGTGAAAAGAAGTGGGGAATGTCTTTTATAATTTTTTATACTAGATCAAAGTTCATTCTAGACTATTACAACTATGCTAATTCATCCTCTGAAGCAAGTTTGGAGAGACATTCATATTTAATGATAGCACAATAAAAATATTTGTGAGTGAACTGGTTTTGTACAATGATAATTTTAAGAGCTACAAGCCTGAATTTATTGTTCATTTTATCTAATCTGATTTTAGAAATGTATTGTATGAAGCTGTTATGCTCAAATGCTCTATTTTCCTCACTTTTATGTAACAAGTAGGATTAATTCTTTTCCCTTCTGAGACATATGAAATCTAATTTTTACTTCCATCAAAATGTCGTTTTGTTATGTTGGTGTCTACTCACTTTTTGTACTTGGATGCTTTGCATGCATTTACATATCCAGATTATACCATCTAAGTATAGGTGTGCCCTGGATATCAAAGCTCCCAGTTATAGAGCTGGAGATTGAATCCATAACCCATACATAGGGCCTTGGTGTCATTAAAGGCACTCATGGGCACCCAAGACATCTGCATGGGACTCATAGCGATGACGCAGGACCTGCAGGACATCTGCATCATTCTGGAATGGCCAGAAGCTTAAAGAGCTCTATGAAAAGCTTAAAGCCAGGCATCTCATATGTTCCTGA